TCCCAAAAAAAAAAAAAAAAAAAAAAAAAAAAAAAAAAAAAAAAAGTGCACCTTTCCCTGCAAAAAATGATCATCTACAAACAAAACTAAAGAAGTGCTAGGAATCAAAAGATAGAAGCCATATTTTTCTCCCTTACAACTCTGCTGGTTACTGAAGATCTAAAAAGTTTTCAGTAGCATTTACTAAATGAACTAGCTCATCATGCTTTTTCCCTATTTACCTACAGAAGTTACTTTAAAAAAAAAACATGCACACAAATATTATTCATAATTACAGACTTTTTTTCCCCCCTGACCAGTTAGGGGACTGCAACCCTCAGCACAGTGTGGTCTGCACCATGCTCAGCCAGTGAGCGCACTGGCCATCCCTATATAGGATCTGAACCCGCGGCCTTGGTGCTACCAGCGCTGCACTCTCCCTAGTGAGCCACAGGGCTGGCCCCATAATTACAGAATCTTACTAACTCTTAACCAATATGAGTATACAGAAAATGCAGGGTCCAAAACTTAAAGAGCAGTTAATACCTGAACTGGCAGGAAGTGATGGAGACCATGGAGTCCCTTCAAAAAGGGAGTACAGTGATGTTTCTTGGGGGGCCATCGAGGGATTGAGTTCTGCTTTGGAGCTGGTGGTCAGGTTTTTCCCATATACCTCATTGAACATACTGTTATTTGGGTATCTTTCCTGAAAGACATGACAATCAAGTTTTAAACTCACTCCAAGGGAACAAAAATAAGAAAATGCAACATCATGCTCATGATGTTTGCTACACCTTAAGCTTTTCTCAGCAATAGAAATTTTTGAAGGCTTTTATTTATTTTTTGTTTTTTCCACCTTCCTGTCCAAATTCATTTTCCCCTTTGCTCTCTCTCTCTCTTTATTTTGCTATATGTAAATCACCCAGGTTAAAAAGTGTGAATAATTTATTTGGCTGAACAAGATAGCCCTAAGGATTTCAATATTAATGAGAAGTCAAAGGGTTGAAATTCATAATGTAGAAGTCACTAGTCTGCCTCAGTCAGAGACAAAGAAAAATCAAATACGTGGAAGACACCAATATGCGGAAAAGAAAGAGAAAAACAGACATTGAAATAGAAGAGGAAAGAAAACATGAGGCTACAATAAAAGCACAAAGCAGGATTCTTAATTGTTTACCCACCTGATTGAGAGAGAATCCAGTGAGGGACAGGAATGAGGATGAATGTGACATGAGCTCTGAGGGTTTCTCCAATAAAGATTTCTTCACAGTCCCAGAAGAAAAAGTAAAGTTATATCTTCCATTTTTAAAAATATTAACCTTATTATACTATAGAACTAAAATAAAGGACTACCACTTAAGCATACTTGTATTTGCCCATCACATACAATATAAGGCTTAGAAGTCTTGAATTCAAGTCTGTTAATACCATGACACAAGTTAAGTGCCAGCTGCACAGGTGAGTCAGACAGAACCCCCCTTTATTATTATATCTAATCTAGCACAGAGATTCTGGCAGGAACCCTGAAAAATAGTTCTGAGTCCCTACTAGACAGGAACCTCCAGAATCTTCTTGTCAATAGCTGCATTTAAAATAATCTCAAAACAAGATGGTGAACTATTCTAGCACTGTTTTCCCCCAAACTTTTAAAACATTAATGTTGATGAATTTTAAAAAGCCTCTTAAATACATTTGACAACTCGTTTTGTCAACATATATCCTAAGCAGCTCTATTTGCAGTATAAAGATATATTAAAATAATTGCTAAAATTCAAGATTATATTTATTGGCCCTAAGAAAGTTATAGGGAAAAAAAAAAAAGCTGAATCTCTAATGCACATTGTCATTGCACAGTTGGTTAACAAAACATTTATTAGACACCTACTACACGCAAGGCCATTTTTCACACATTATATCGTTAACAATGTTAAATACAAGGAAGGGTTACAGTAACGGTTTTTTTCACTGTTGTTTTTTAAACACACAAAAAATAAGAAAAATAGACTGAAAAAAACCCCACTTGTTCCACCATCAGCTCCATTTCAATGGACATGTCAGGGGTAACAGGAACTAAAGGATTAGAAAACAAGTGAACAGAAAGGCACTACCTCAGTCCCTCAAGCCACTCCAGCAGAGAAGCAGCAGGAAAGTAAACGTGCAGAGGCAACAGCACAGCAGCTGGGCCTCCACAAGCCTCCACTCCCAGTCATGGCACTGCCATGGTTTAAGTTTCCAGGAGATCTTTTACTGCTGCTAACTTGTAGGAGGCCTCTACTGCCATTCAGCTAGGCAAATTCTTAAGGAAACTTTCAGCGCCAGGGATGGCAGCTATTGTCATGAAAGCTTTTATACCTTTATTTCTCCTGATACTAAAATTGATGCATTTTAATCTTATGAATGTTTTCTTGTCCTGTATTAGTGGAAAAGAAACAGCAAGAAATAAAACTCAGAATCTGTTTTGTTTTTTATTAAGATGTAGTGAAGGGAGGGAGGAAAAAACCTTATAGCATACATCTTTGTTCCCAACTTTTATACTCCCCATCCTTACAAAAATATCACGTAAACATTGATGAGTATATAGAACGACATTCTTTGAAATGTAGGCTGGGTTCTAGAAGGTTATTTTTAAAGGACACTACTTCTAAGATTTTACTTTATGTTATTCTAGTTATTTGCCTTCACATTCACTCATTTATGGCACTTAAACAAGGTTTACAAATAGAATCCTCTTCATTTTTACTAATTCTTTCATGAATCCAACTCTGAATTTAGATAAGGGCTCTTTCTGGGTTCAGTTTAACAAACAGAAGCGAGCCACATACTGTTCAATAATGTCATTTAAAACTCTAGAACACATATGAAAAAAATCTCAGTGTTCCTAAGCAAGACACTAAATGACACTTGAAATTTCTGGGTTTAGATGGAAGTGCGACTGGAAAAATGAGTTAATTTGCTAGCATCACACCCTGCATGTGATCAGCCCTGCAGGATGCTTTCTAGATAACACATATAACCAAGCTATGACTCTATAATTTGGGGGAACTATGGAGCCAGCAATGTTTTGCTGTGTTCTATTACCATTTTAAAGTTAGTTTAGGCAATCAGGAAATATGCTTTACACTTCTGTAAAGAAAGAATCAAAAAGAGGAAATCAACTATTCCAAGCACTACAAGCCTCAGAGAAGCCACTAGGATTAGAACATGAAGCAGAATTACATCAAATACATACAAAGAGGCTTCGTCCAGGAAGAGAGGCGAGAGGCCCCAGCAGAGCTGGGTAAAGATCAGGAGGGTTAGAAAAAATCAGCTCTTCCTCTTCCTCCAAGGCAGCCAGACTCTTTAACAGGTCCGGAGGAAGCAGAGGGGAGCTCTTGGGATCCTAGTGATAGAAAGGATCACAGTGAGATGCAGTAAGGGATGACAAAACATGAAGTAGTGGCATGATTAGGTGGATAAAGGTAACTAAAGTCAAGGGGAGAGAAGCAATCAACAGTGAAATAGACGGTATTATGAAAAGGGGAAAAGGCTCTGAAATGCAAAAGCAAAGTTCACACAAGGACTGTGGTGGAGCAAAATCAAGACAATAGAAAGAAGCAAAAATACTGACAGAGTAGAACATAGGTAACATGGCTAGTGAGTAAAACAATTCAAAGGAGCAAAATGATTAGTATATCTTGTGCTAACAAAGAGAGATACAGCTCTTTTAAAAAGTTACACACACACACACCTGTTTCTCATGAATAAAAAGGGCAAGGAAAGGGAACTCCACTGTCCAAGATAACTGGCTGACTTTGTTCATCTCAGAAAGCAATTTGTTTAAATACTCAATAAACTTATTTTTAAACTTAGATGATTCAGCTCACCTGAGAGGAGCTCTTTGTCTCAGAATTCTCTAACATGCTGTGTTAAGAATTTCTGCATGTAATTTCTCTGCCAGACCATCACAGTTCAAAATCAGTTACAGAATTCTTCAGTTTCCCAAACTAAAACATACTGTGCAATTTTTAAGAGAAGACCAAGAGCTGCACCAATTATTCAGCAGCACTCTATAGTACTAATGAATCAGAGTGACTTTTATAACATCAATTTGGGAAATTCAAAAGATGCAACCCCAGACCTATCTCCAAAGTGCCTAATAAAAGAAAACAACACAAACCTCAAATGACATCCTGGGCACAGAATCCTGCTCTGGACGGAAGACTCCTGGTGACCGTTTGCCCCTGCGGTCTATACTTGCTTGCTGTGCCATTACAGCTCTGTTGTCAGCCATGCTGTAGGAAGAATCCCAGTAGAATTCTGGGACCTTGACTTCTGAGGGATTATGGTTATATGGCTCCATGGGGAAAGGCTTCATTTTTTTCTCTAGAGGCTGCTGCTGCATTACAGGAGGTTGCAATGGCGGCTCAAACAGTTTTATGGGGTCTTGGGTCTGAAGGTAGTAGGACTGTTTCACAGGCATGATTTTCCCTAATGGACCTTGAACCTGAGGAGGATTCCATAGCTGTTTGGAGGCATCTGCCTGTTGATACTAAAAAAGAGATGCCTGTTATCAAGATGAGAATAAAATGCAACGTTACTTATAACCAATGCACAAGAATCACAGAATGAACCTGAGGGATTTTACAACCAACAAAACTCCAGGCAATGCAGCAATTTCCTTTAACCCTTTGAATTTTTTAATACACAGTGCTTTCTGGGAACAGATTTTGGGCACTGAACTCATATTGTCTTTATATTCAATTACGTAAGAGATTTAAGAAAAGAATGAATAAATATGAGTGTGAGAGTGTATGTGTTTCCCCCTTCTGCTTCAAGTGCTGTGGGATGACATTTAAGATTGGTGTCACATCTATCTTAGCACATCATCAAGATTATGATACTAAGGGCCGGCCCGGTGGCGCACTGCTACAGTGCGCCGCTTGAGAGCGCGGTGTCGCTCCCGCTGAGGGTTCGGATCCCACATACAGACCGGTTCTCGCTCACTGGCTGAGCGAGGGGCGGGCGCAGCACCGAGGGTTGCGATTCTGTTGCCGGTCCCGGTCCAGTACGGATGCGACACTGAGGGTTGCGGTCCGTTGCCGGACACGAAAAAAGACAAAAAAAAGGAAAAAAAAAAAAAAAGATTATGATACTATTTCCCTTCTGTAGTTTATGTTCAAATAGGTGAAAATTATTTACAGAATATCTTTTTTCTAAAGCTGATGATTAATAGCAGAAAAGAATGGTAGTTAATATCTAATATATTATCCTTCACAAAACATGGAAAACATTTGAACTTTACTAAACAGTAGAGAGAATACCTTTGTATTCCCACAATCATTACAAGTCTAAGCAAGAAGTATCTTCAAGGCCAAACACTGAATCATTTCAGCATCTCCCCTTATTTCAGATAGACAGTACACACAACTGTAACTTACCTGCTGGAATCCAGAGTGGTGAGGCGGGCTTTTCCCCAGAGCTGGCACAGCTTTTGTAGGGGACTGTTGTTGCTGAGTTAGAGTTTGAACCTGCAACTGGCTTGTAGACTGTGCTGTTGACTGAGCTGGTAAAGATTTAAGGGGTTGCTGGGAAGGTGGCTGTGATTGTTGAGGTCCCTGGTTCATTGGCCCTGGTCCAGAGGGCCGTTGCTGGCTGTAAGGAATGTGGGACTGTTTCCCAGCTTGCACCTGGTTTCCTGCCGGAGAGTGAGCTGTAGGCTGAAGAAAGGTTCCTGGGACAGAAACACCAGCTGGGAAGGTGTAACCTGAGCCCATAGAAAATGCCACAGGAGGGGGGATAACATATGTTGGGGGTGGGAACCCTTAAAAAAAGAAAAATACAGCTTTAGTTCTAAAGAAAGGCAAAAAAAAAAAAGGGGGGGGGGATTCTTAACACATTATAAAAGTAAGAGATCCACCATACTGTCAATCTTTAACTTGATTTTAAGAACTCAATATAGACTATTGACTACTTTTCTTTTATCCACCAAAGTAATTAATGTATTCTAAAGATGGCTTCTTACGTTTAATGGTAGGAATTACTTCACGGGAACAAACATACACTTGTATATAAACTACAGAGAAATGGCTCAAAAATAATTTCATAAACATTATTCTATCTTTTAACATTATGGCTTAGTAATGTCAGTACAACAGAGTATAAATTACTCAGTGAGTGAACAGAAATTCCTACATAGATGGGATTAAGGAGAAGAAATTTCAAAACACATATTTACCTGGCCGGCTGGGAAGAGGAGGGAAAGCTCCATGGTGATGAATGGGGATGAACTGGGAGTTACCTGCTTGACTTGGGGTTTGAGTTACAGGTGTTTTCCTGGCTTCAGATACTGGAGTCTTTCTTAGTTCTGTCTGGGATTTTACCTATTACCAAAAGCAAAACTATCTATAATAACCTGAGACTCAAATGTGTCAGAAAGAAGCACCTACTTCTAAGAAAGTATTTAAAACCTCATTATGTCAAAAAGTATATGCTGAAGATATTTAAATTCACCTGCTAAAAATGGAAAAATCAAAAACAAAGTAGCTAACTGCCAATAAAAAATATAAATGCTCTTAGTTTTACTAATATAATTATTTTGCTTTCACATAATCACAAAAATATTAAATATGGAAAGGACCTTAGAGCCCATTTGTTTTACAAATGAGACACCTGATGCCAATTTACAAATGAGACACCTGATGCCAACAGGTTAAAAAGACTTGCCTATGATATTAAGCTGTCTGTTAGGGGGCCCAGGGTTCTTTATATTCTAACTCATTAAATAGCATACATGAATTATGAATTAAAAATGACTACTAACCCCCAGGTGAGATACTTTGACCCTCAGTTTACTTTCATCTGGGCTGCCTTAAGTATACCAGTCAGGCATCTACCCTCCACCCTGCATGTAACGTTATCACCCTTCAGAATAAATAAGAATACTTTCAGCAGTGAGGAAAACGCCAGAACAGGCCCTGAGATCCTATACATGGAGCCAGAGAGAAGTAGGTGCCATATGCTCTGCTCAAAGTTGAGCAAAATGAGGGAAAATACATAGCATTTATAGAAAATTTAAGATGAGGCACACAGTGTGATGATATATTGACTATTATCAGGCTTTATCTAATCATGTACAGGCAGATTTGAGATGGATGAGGGACTGGAAAGGAGATTTTTCTTCAGTCTGGACCTTACTGGGAGAGAGTTACATCTGAGAATGGAGGCAGAGCGGGCAGGAAATGCTGGACTCTCTGTCCCTAAAACACTGGTCCTTTGGCTTTCTAGTTCATTTGGATTTTCTCCTTGCCTTTCCCCAGCACCTCTCTCTCCATGCTTTTTCTCAATTTCTACCATGTTTTTCTCTGTTTCTCTCCCTACTATTAATCTTAAAATGAAACTACTATCTTCTTATTTCTCACTTTCTCCAGAAAATCCTATTAGGGAACTACATTGAAGATACTGTTTATTTATAAGCAGTCTTCAACAATGTAACATTCCTTATGCAAATGTATATCAAAATGTGTTAACAAATCACAAGGCTGCTTAAGTATTTAATCAAACATTAATGGAATTAACAAAACCAGCACAGAATAAAGACCTTTTCTGCTTACATGAAATCATCTGCATGTCTTTGGAAAGGTGTAAAAAACACAGTCACAAATAACTGAGCAGTGTTTATCTTTTCTCAGCAAGAGGACTGGATTCTTGCTTTAAAATTTCCCATGAGCCAGGATAAATATTAAAGTGATATAATGCTACTGGCTGGGACAGGTATAAATGTCAAGGAAAAGAGCCTCATTTTTTTTTTTTCCCAAAAATATATTTTATATAGTGAACCTGAAAAAAAGCGTGTAAGCCTTAATATGGACTTGCTTCTGTTGGATCTATAAAAGACCCCAAATCCCTATAACATTAACAAATGGTAGTTACATGTTCCAAAGAAAATATAATCCTATGTAGAACTGATGGCTCTGTAACTGGGGACTTCAAACCATTTAAACTGGGGAAGAATGACAAAAATGTCAAATCAGGACCGACCCCATGGCTCACTCGGGAGACTGAGGCGCTGGGAGCGCAGCAGTGCTCCCGCCGCGGGTTTGGATCCTATATAGGGATGGCCGGTGCGCTCACTGGCTGACCACGCCAAGGGTTGCGATCCCCTTACCAGTCACAAAAAAGGACCAAAAAAAAAAGTCAAATCAGGTTGAGATTTTTTTTCACTCACATTAATTGATTCCCAGGAACTGATAAAGTTAACTGTCTATCATAGCTCTTTAAATAACCTAACTATGCATTCAAAGAATGCACTTAAATTTCCAGAACGGCCAATTCTCAAGACTATAGAAACAAAGTGAAAATCTTGCCTTTTGTGTGAGCCTTCCTCTACCTGCTTTATAGTTCAAATACAGCTTACCTGCACTGCCACATTCTGCTTTCCTGTTTCCTGTAACTTTTCTAAGGTGCATTTCTTGCTTTCAGTTTTCCTCTTGTTGTTGTCCTTCTTTCCATCATTCATAGTTATAGTTATTCCTTTGCTACAGTCCCTTCTCACCTCTTTGGGAGGAAAACTTCTTCCTTGGTCTCTGTTCACTTCCCGTGGCTTAATGTTCTCTTTGAAGGTGACCATTGGTTTCTCTCCAGTGTCACAGTTGTTGCTTACATTTCGGCCCGTAGACAGCACTGATTTCAGTCCTGGGCTCCCGTCTGCAGCCAGCGACTCTATCACGGATGTTTCTTGCAGAATGAGGTTCTCTTTGGCTTCACTGGGGTCTTCCAGTATTAACTCTGGGATTTCTGTGATAAACAACAATTTCCCTACCTCATTTTCACACTGAATCAGCCTAAAAAAGTAAAAATAAATCCATATATGAAAAACATTAACCTAGAAAGCAATAACAACTGAATTGTGTATGGATCCAACAGAGAATATATATATTACCAGCCCTAAAAACTACAGAAACAGCAACATACAAGAATGTGGATTCTTGTAACACATAAAGTAGTTACGTAGACACTCAGGTTCTCATTATCATACTTATCGCCACAACATATTCTTCTACTCTTTAATGTTTCCTAATAATTACAGTTACATTTACTGAGTACAGTAAATTACAAGACACTAGTTTAGGCTTTGACATGTCCTGTAAGGTACATATTATATAATCCCTATTTTATAAGGTATAGAAACTGAAGCTCAGAGGTGAAAAGTTCAATCAAACAATGCAAGCATTTAAGTGCCTACAGTATGCAGAAAAATAAATACAAAAATGAATAAGAAATAGTTACTGGCTTTGGAAAGATTATAATCTACTAGGGAGACTTCAAGGGCACAAACCTGGGAAACAGCAGAACTAGAAACTGAACTCAAACCTACTTGATTCCAAAACCTGTGTTCTTCCCACCTCTGTTTTGTATTTTACCAGCCGCTAGCACCATCCTGGTCTGTCCTGGCTAAAACTGACCACCAAGCCCTTGGCAATACAAATTACCATGACTGTGAACGTACAATTCAGTTAGATTTATACAGATGTTTATAAATGAAAGCAGAGGCTCATGATAAACAAGTGCCCCACCCCCGCCCCTGGGATGCCCCCTGGGGGGGAGGGGACCACGGGGAGGCCGCTACTGCTGCTGAAGGCTGTTGCTGCCAATGTTCCCAGGATGCCCTGAGAGGCTACCGCCGCCGCTGCTGCTACTGCTGAGGACTGAGCTCGTGTCATTTGCCAATGGCTCCCAGGATCTTTCCCAATTACCTAGCGTGGACCTGCGTGTGAGGGGTCTGGTGACCCAGCCTGGTATGTGAGGGTGACCCAATCTATATAAGTTTGCAGGGTCTGAGCCCCAGCCCTGATAATACAAATAGAAACTTAGTATAACTAAAATAATGAAACGTTTTGGCCTAGCCATACAACTGGCGTAGCTATTGCTGTGACCCAACAACTGGCAAGTAATGTAGCTATGGCCCTAACCTGATAATATTTAATTCCCTTTTTTGAGATTTCCCTTCTAATTTTCAAAAGTATATAAGGCAGAATTCAGTGAATGTCATTTGGGAGAAGCAATTTTCTTTTCATTCCATTCTTCTATATTTTCTTAAGCACTTAGTATTGGGATTACACAGGAATTAAAGGCATGATATATATAAATCCATCTCATAGCAACTAACTGTCACCATTAGTTGCTCTTATGAAAATAAGATACAGCTGGGACAGATCAAGGGTTCCTCTACATCCAACCTTGATTCCTGTTAATTTTCCTTTTTTTTTTGTCTTTTTTCGTGACCGGCAACGGATCGCAACCCTCAGTGTTGCGCCCGTACCGGACCGGGACCGGCTACGGGATCGCAACCCTCGGTGTTGCTCCCGCACCTTGCTCAGCCAGTGAGCGGCCGGTCTGTATGTGGGATCCGAACCCTCGGCGGGAGCGCCGCCGCGCTTCCCAAGCAGCGCACTGCAGCAGTGCGCCACCGGGCCGGCCCGATTCCTGTTAATTTTAATCTTCCATTCACCAGCAATGAAATGAACCTATCACAGCTGCCACCTACCTGAAAGAAGGTCTCAAAGCCAAGAATCCTTGTAACTCAAACTCTTCTGGAAGTGGTGTAGCTAAAAAAGGGTGGAAATCAAAATTTGTAAACATTTTAATTAAAATACTGTTGTCTGGTAGAACACTGCTCATTAAATGGGGAGAAAAGATAAAATAAAATACAATAACTCACCCGTCAAAACCCTGTATGTTACCTCTGGGTCCTAGACATTCCCCTAATACTCATCTAATACTCAATGTTGTGGAGGATGGATATGATGGACATTTTAAAAATCAGTCTTAAAAATTCATTGCCTTGGATCCAGTAATCCCAGTGTTTAGACTACCTATCTCCCTCTTTTTTTTTTTTGTTGTTTGACTGGTAAGGGGATCGCAACCCTTGGCACAGTGTGGTCTGCACCATGCTCAGCCAGTGAGCGCACCGGCCATCCCCGTATGGGATCTGAACCCGTGGCCTTGGTGCTACCAGCGCTGCACTCTCCCAAGTGAGCCACGGGGCCGGCCCCCTACCTATCTCCTTTTACTCAAAGTATTGAATAACAACATTTGACATCACTTGGGAGCTTGTAAGAAATGCAGAATCATGGGCACTATGCCAAACCTACTGAAACATAAACTCTATTTTTAAAAGACCCAAGTGATTCATTTGCAAATTGATGCTTCAAGGGCACCGATCTAATGTAAGAAAAATAATCAGAAATGAGGGGCCGGCCCGGTGGCGCACTGCTACAGTGCGCCGCTTGGGAGCGCGGTGGCACTCCCGCTGAGGGTTCGGATCCCACATACAGACCGGTTCCCGCTCACTGGCTGAGCGAGGTGTGGGAGCGACGCCGAGGGTTGCGATCCCGTTGCCGGTCCGGTACGGGCGCGACACTGGGGGTTGCGATCCATTGCCGGACACGAAAAAAGACAAAAAGGAAAAAAAAAAAAAAAAAGAAATGAGTCAAGCTAGAGGTTGTTCAGTGTGGCATTATATATAATGGGGAAAAATTTAAAGCCATGGAGAGTGAGTAAATAGATTATGGCAAATCCAGAGGACAAAATATTATATAGTCAGTAAAAAATCATGTTTTCAAAATGTTTAATCTTTTCAAAATGTTTAATAACAAAACATTCTGACAGAGTAATGTTGTTCACATTATTTCATTTTTTTTTTAATAGTTAAGAATGAGGAGGAAGGGAAGAAGATGGAAAAAATTTGAAGGTATGGCATTCTTTGGACTCCTATTCAAATGTAGCTAAATGAGAATAAGCTGCCAAAAAAACTGGAAAATCATTACCTCTTCTTCCACCCACTTCATCAGCGTAGAGCTCAAAGTCACTTCTGAGATACTGAATTTAAAGTCAAACACTTATCACCAAAAACTTATTTTTCTCTGGCCTTAAATCCACCATTAGTGATAGAGAACCACAACAACAATACAAAGTTAGGGAAGCCCTTACCATTAATATTCGAGAGATCTTCCTCATGCGGATGGAAGCTATTTAGAAGAGAAATTAGCCAGGGCCAAATGCTGTAAATTAAAAAAATTTTCAGATTTTATTTTTATACGAGAGAAATGAGAACACTAATAAGCCACGAAAACGATATCTATAGGCTCTGAACTCTACAGACTTTTCCCTACTTCAATTTTTTTAAAGGCTGTATAATTCCCTAAAACATACACCAGAAAGCTCAAATTTCCACGATAGAGACCTGCTGTATAGATCATTTCCCAGGCTCCTAATTTAACAGTGAAAATAATGTCAGTTTTAAACATTGAAAATTGAGATTTACTGAGAAAACCTTAAGCAGAGAAACAACATATTACATTACAGAGTTTTCACATACATTATCAGTTGTAGAACCCATTGTTAGTTCTTTAATCTGTGACAGGGTATAGTTATACCATACTCAAATCACATTCCCTGTTCAAAGTGATAAATGATGCCTTTTTCTTTGCGGTACAAAAAAGTCCACATTGTTAAATATCCTTATCTCTAAACTCAGTTTCTGAATATTATTTTTTATGAAAGCTTATACACGAAATATTAGAACATAAACTTTCCATTATTAGACAGTGAATTCTACATATATAAAAGGGTACTTCAAAAAGTTCATGGAAAGATTCGTATTATCTTTTAATTCCATTTTTCCACAAACTTTTTGAAGTACCCTCATATTTGTTAATTGTATTATTAAAGTCCTTGGTTCCTGAATGAGGTATGTAAAAGTCTCCATTATGGATATAGATTTACAAATATCACTTTACATGCAAACATTAATATCAAAAATTCCGCTGTATTTCAAACATTAGAATAATCTGTATGACTAGACAAGATTTTTTTTAAAGAGAGACAAACACAATTGGTTTGAAATTTGCTGGGTGATGGACGGGAATGCTGTGGGGTGAAACAGCAATACTGATAACTTAAAATAATTTGGTTTTGGCTTGAGAACAATTACTTTGATTTTCCTACAGCAGATTCACCTATTAATCATTCTCTACTAAAGGTAATATTAAGCTTATCTTTAAATACATAACAACCAATGTTGATTAAAAAAAAAAAGCCTGGGGTGAGGTGTCCAGTATAGAGAAACTGGATGCAAATATCTCATCATGGAAAATTGGAAGTTAATGACTATTTCTGATAGTTGTGTACTCTGAAATATGGAAATATGCTACTTAAAAAATATCAAAATATATATAAATATATATATAAACAAATATTGAAGAATAAATGTCTGCTACAAACCTGTGGGGATATAACAAATTGAAAGAGATAGTTAATAACCTAAAAAAGAATATTAAACTGGAATCTCTTTATGCAACAAATACGAGGTTTCAAGAAAATAGATGCATAAAAAGAGCATGAGTGGATGACTTATTAATATATTGCTTAATACATCACTACTTCATATATTTATTAGCTTAAGATAGTATTTTTTCAAAAAGTATGGGGGAAAATAAGTTCTAGAAATTGGAAAGGCCCAGAAACAAGAAACTGAGAATTATTTGAATACACATGAAATTCTGAGTTAAAAAATGTAGTAATTGTTTATCCATTATTTAAAAGATATAAATAAAGATAATTACTTTAATGTATCAGACACATAAGGAAAATTTCTTAAAGTAATACCCCATGCTAGTCTTTAAAATAAGTAGTAAAGCATTTTAGATAGAATGAAATGCCTACAAGGGCATAATTCTAAAGATCCTGATAAATCTGATAGGAGGAAGAGGGAAGAGTGAGTGACAAAAAAAAGGAGGGGAAAAAAGGTTTGCAAATAAAGCTATTCCATCTGGTTGAATATCCTTTGCTATGATAAGAAATGGGAATGCACAGAATGAGCCACAAGAATCTCTGTACAGAAACCACAAACAAAATAAAAATAAAAATCCCTGCCCATAAATATGAAAACTCTATAAGCAAATGGTAAAACACAGAATTCTTCTTTCACAGCAAAATTTAAAAAATTTATTGGAGCAAACATAAGAGTACAAAAACTCTATAGCCTGAGTTAAGAAATAAAAAATTTTTGCAAGAAAACAATGTCTGAAAATCTGTATTACTAATACCTATGCTAACATTAAAAGGAGAAGTATAGTGTGCTGTGCTGTTTGTAAACTCTATTCATGGCAATGTCAAAATAAAGGAGCTTACAGTTAGGTGAGAGAAAAAAGGAAAGATAATTATGAAGTAGAGGAATCACAGGATCTTAAATGTGGCTAGGCCATTTTCTAGGTTGTAATCTTGGTCAATGTGTACATGCTCGGCCACAAAGCAGAAATTTCAGAGGTTTTCCTTAAACTCACTATCAAAACATGCAGGGAAGGAACCTCCTACTCACTGCAAAGCTATCTTGCAAGTATTTATTCCTACGATCAAAGGTACACTGAAAGTTTTCATTTGTCACTGTAGAATCAATAGTTTCTAATAACTCAAAATTACTTTGAGTAGACATTACAGAGAAAATAATAAAAATTAAAATAACTTGATTTTAGGGCTGAGCCCGTGGCGCACTTGGGAGAGTGCAGCACTGGGAGCACAGCAGCGCTCTCGCTGCGGGTTCGGATCCTATATAGGGATGACCGGTGCGCTCACTGGCTGAGCACGGTGCGGCCAGTCTCAAAAAGGACAAAAAAAACAAAAACAAACAAACAAAAAACTTGATTTTAATCTTCTATGCTTAAAATAAACAAATATATTTCAAATTGGATATTACTGTATGGCAACATCAAACAGTTTATGTACAGAAAATAATGGAAGAAATAAAAAATCTCTTCCCTTTCACTCTTGAACAGAAAACTGGGGCATACTGTAATGGATAAAAAACGAACTGATTTTGTCTCAAGTTCATTTTGAAATGTGAAAAATGCCCCTTCCCCAGGATGGCAACTGGGAACAGGGGAGCGCACAGGGAGTCACAAATCCTTAAGACTATGCCTCACATGAAGAATGCAAATAAATAAATGAAAAGCATACAAAGAGGTCTTCAGCTCAACTTCCAGAGCGTAAGCAGAAAATACAAAGTCTTCCATTGTTCAAATGTTGTGCTTTAGAAGGCAGTTTTTACATGTGTATGAATATCAAACAAAGCACACAATCTAACATGAAATTCTAAAACACTTACTACTGTCTTTCATCCACCACTGCCTCCTGAAAGACCCTAGGTCTGAGTCTCAGCCAGTCCATGGAAACCTTGACTGCAGGAAGGGGATAGGCATTGTAGGACTCCTCTTGAGACTCATTCTGGAGAGGACACTTGCACAGGATGCCAAGAAAAGACACTTAAAGAAAAAATGTATTCAGAAAGCATAAGACATTTAAAACTGTGTACTAGTTCAAATTAAAATATCATTATGAGCCTTCTGCTGTATTCTGTTTAAAACTTAAGTGTCTTACAGCTTCTTTCTAAAAAGGCATTTTCTTTCCCATGTTAAAAATGTTATAGATACAGTTGATGAGGTTGTGTCAGCAGATAAAAGGACAGAACCTGGGGTTCAGGCCTTCTGATTCAATATTAAGAAATTTTAATATGTCACTTTTTATATGTCCCTGTGCTTTGCTACACTGATGAAAACGCCTAAGATTATGCCTTTCAAAGAAGGTGGTATGTGTCAGAGTTAAATGATTTCATACTCACTAAAGAGGGCCAGCAACTGTGTCCAACACAGCTGTTCATCTTGGCTGTAACTATGCTGCTCTGTTTCATTGCTAAAGTCACGAAGGTGATGAAGTTGAAACAGGTTAATGACAGTGACATGAACTAACTGCTGAGAGTTGAAAGCTTTTTGGAATAGCAGCCTCTGCAAAAGAAGAAGGAATAGAAGGAATACTACATATATTAACAAGAACAGGAACCATCTTTGATACAAGAATTAAACTGGCAGTGTGTATTTAGAACTACATAGGTAACAGAATTACAGATGAGTACACTGTTTCACTCTTAATCCCAGTACTTTAATTGGGTCTGATGTTTCCCAAACTGACTCTTTGTCTTGAAAAGAATTAATCCAGACAACATAGAGTTCTTGAGCTGTTTGTCAAACAAACCTTTTTCCCCAAAGAAACTGTATATTTTTAATATAACCTGAGAAAAGTTTTGGGGGTCCACCCATAAATTTATTTATACATCTTAATCTATTGGAAGTTTTTTTTTTTTTCCTTTTTGTCTCTTTTTTCGTGACCGGCAACGGATCGCAACCCTCAGTGTATCGCCCACNTTTTTTTTCCTTTTTGTCTCTTTTTTCGTGACCGGCAACGGATCGCAACCCTCAGTGTATCACCCACACCGGACCGGGACCGGCAACAGGATCGCAACCCTTGGTGTCGCGCCTGCACCTCGCTCAGCCAGTGAGCGGCCGGTCTGTATGTGGGATCCGAACCCTCGGCGGGAGCACCGCCGCGCTCCCAAGCGGCGCACTATAGCAGTGCACCACCAGGCCGGCCCACTTTTTTGAACTCTTGATAAACAAAGCATGACTTCCAAGATTATTTCTAAAATTTACTCTTTCAAAGGCTTGACACATTTAAAGAAACTTATTTATAAACAAGATACAGCAAGAACATATTCTGGGGGCCGGCCCGGTGGTGCACTGCTACAGTGCGCCGCTTGGGAGCGAGGCGGCACTCCCGCCGAGGGTTCGGATCCCACATACAGACCGGCCGCTCACTGGCTGAGCGAGGTGCAGGCGTGACACCAAGGGTTGCGATCCTGTTGCCGGTCTCGGTCCGGT